ATAGGGGTTCTATAAAGATTAATATAAAGGTTTTGTGGGGGTTATAGGGGTTATATAGGGAGTTTATAGGGATTATATACAATGTATGAAATTTGTGCAGCATGGTGGAATTTCTGTCCTTCATAACGTGAAGGGAGCGGACCAGCTCGCACTTCCTCTGTTCTTGGTACATGGCCATGGCTTACATGGCGTCGTTTTTATGAATAGACATCCAGCATTCGTGTGTCGGAGCTGGCAGTTTGACCTGGGTACGGAGACAGATGTTATGTTGGTTTGGACATGGATGCCCTCGCATGCCCTTCCCAATAAACATCAGTATCATACGGACAAGCACGCTCTGGGAAATGAGGAAAACTTGGACGCCTGCATCACTTTCAGGGCACTTTAACTGCTCCAGGTTTTGCCCTACGCAAACAAGTCTGGGGAATCGCGTTTGTCGCGCACATAAGCACTGCGGACACTGACTCCTTTGGAAAAAACGACGGAGCTCATTCTCAGGACCTGTCCATGTTTCCCTGCCGTATCACTTCGTACCGCAAACGCTATGAATGTTCAACGGCCAGCTGTCAACCTGCGTGTGCTGACGTACCATACGTATGTTTCTGTCTGTGTGTGGTTGGAACCCCTCAGCTCCATGATGGTATCAAGAACAAGGGATCACAACCAACTGGAAAAAACACGATGAACCCATCCCGACCTCAGTAGCCGCATGCATTTCAGCCCAACAAAACGGCACAGCTAATGGCCTCAGTAATGATACCAGCTGCCAGCAAGTATAATTAGGCCCTTCTAAGTAGATAGAATATGGCTTTGGTTAATAATAAGGCCCCCATATACCCCATATTCAGTAATGATACCCTGAAGCTTTGAAAACATGTCCGCTAACGTCTCACAGTCAGGCTTCTGGCTGCTACTGGATGCAACCTTGCCCGCTCTCCTCAATAGGTTCCCGAAAGTCTGACTCTCAAGGTTCCCCCCCTGCATCCGCCACAAACATGAAAACACAATTACCCAACGGCTTGTCGTGATACGACGTAAACATGCTATTAACGCTGGACACTGAAACATTAGTCAGCGCCGAGGGAACATCGGACTACGCTGGGATGTCTCTCTTCCTTAAATCCCTACATTATCCGCAGTTTCCATGTCATTTTCAATTTTCTTTTCCATGCGATTCTGCAATACAGGTGAATATTATCCCTAACTCGTGTACACATATATAAACATTACATACCCCTAAGGGGCCCTAGGATTTCCATGGTATTCTCAAATTCTTTTCCATTTGGTTCTCCATTGTAAGAGCGTAATGTTGACCATAAACCCTCAAAACCAATTGCCTCTCTATGCTAGCCTGGGGCTCGGGTGCCCTTAATATTTATTTGTGTAGATAGAATATGGCTTGAGGTGTATTATAATAAGGTCCCCATATACCCCATATTCTGTCTACTTAGGGGGGACTATATCCTTATGCCATTTCTCGTTGGGCTTGGATAGTTTGTACCAAGTTGTGGCCATTCCGATTCCTGAACCTTGTTGAACCAGGACTCTCTGATGAGACCCCTCAAGCCAACAGACGCAACGAGGAATCCGAAACCCCAAAACCCTTCAAGAAGTCAGGCGTCTTCCATTCCCGGATTTGGAGTTTCGGGCCCGTTCAAATTTGCCACTTACATCAGGTTTTAAGGTTAGATGGCTTCGGCTAAGTTTGAGGGGTTCCCCCTCTCATCCCCTCCCTGTAAAGTCTGCCCCAGCTGTTGATGGTTAATCAAGGAATCGCCGCTATTTGTATGCACGCCCTCTTTTATCCTGAGGTTTGCTGGCCATTAAAGATACTGTACATGCTAAGCCGCCTTGAGACTGGGCGAGGCTTGCGCCTTTTAAGATTCTAGTCTACCATTGTCTACCACCATTAGACACCACATAATTAAATATGCCCACCAAAACCTCCAAGACACCTAATTAGATACACTTTCATAATCATGATACTAAAAGTAACACGAACTGCTGCAGTGTGAATGTGACCTTGAATTTGCACCCTCCGCTGCCATTTAGGCTGAATGGAGTAAATGACCCATAGCCTCTAGGTAAGCTTGTCTCCAACTTTACAATAATAGGTACAGGATTGTACAGACTTAGCTAGTGTACAGCTTTGTAAAAAGTTAAAATACTTTCTGACGGTTTTGTTTGTGTGCGCTTGTGGTAGAAAGGCTCATTGTGTAGGATCGCTCGCCGCCATACACCGACATCCAGGTGATGAGCCCAAGTTCGTGGGCACTGCGCTTTTCCTGAAGTATGACAATGAGGTATAGAGACCATGTCGTGGGCGGTCGAGTGGATCGACAGCAAGTGAATGACCCGGTCAAGGTGGTCAAATCTTTTCTAAAACCTCTGGCGGAGATTCTGGACGTGGTTATGGTCCAATGATTCAAGGACCTCGTGGTGAGCATGGAGTGCTCCCAGGTGCTGATGCAACAGCTGGAAGCCTGCAGTGTTACACTGGCGGCCATGGTGGCATGACTAGAACAAGAAATATCTGCGCTTGCTGTAGTAATAACGGGCCTAGTCTTATGGCGGGCAGTGGTCCCTTGATTCGAGATAACTGTCAACCACAGGATTACGGTCCGCTGAATCGTAGCAGTGCTCATGGTGTTGGCGGGAATCTCTTTGATGGAGAACACTGCATACCCCATGAACAAGTGCTACCGTCCGTTGGTCTGGTAGTGTTGCGCAAACTGCTGGACAAGATGCTGGAGATGATTTGAATTCAGAACGGCTAGTTCCACAACGACGTCTGAGCGGGACTCCATATGGTCGTCTGCTCAGGACGTCAGGAGGTGTCAATTATGCACAGGGAGAGTGGGTGCCAACGTTGCGTCTCCTTGTACAGACTGCAGATCGTGAGGAATATGGCCAAGACCTCAGGTCCAATGCAGTGATTGCACTTAACCCGGTGTCTGGTGGTGTAGCTGGACAGGATGTAGTTATGGAAAGTGGTATGTGCACGCCCTTTCCTGGGGAGTCTCAAAGGGACTGTAGAATTGGAGATGCAAGGATGGGTAATGATAGTGGTTTTGTCAGTGATACAATCCCTAGCCCCCCTAGTGCTCCTACCCAAGCTCTACCCCCCGTGTTGACCAGTGGTGGTCGTGGTGACTCTGGAGGAGTCCCGTCAGTGTTTAGCCCAGAGGAGCTTGCCATATGGTCGAAAGTTATGAGCGATGATGCTCCCGCACTCCAGCGTAGTGCTGCAGTGAATCACCTAGGAACAAATGTTAGCCAGGCTAGTAATATTCAATTGGCATGCCAGGCTGAAGGACTAGGTGTAAGACCGGTGAGTGGCAGAAATGCTCCGGGGATATCTACTAGTGCGTATGCGCTAGAAACTGGTATATCGGCCATCCCTGTGTGGATGTTTGTCCGGGCAGTTATGTAAGTCATAATGTGGCAAGGCAACAAGGGTCGTATGAACATATCCCTCCTGTGGAGGTGAATGCGTGGCCCAATGCGGAGGATTCAACAGGGGTAGAGGTAAATAGGGCGCTGAATGTTCAACAGATGAGAGAGAGACTGCTTCGTGTTGAACCTGAAGCAAAAGCGCCTAAGACAGGAGATACTTAATCAGGAACAGGTCTTAATGGCTGGCGGCCATAGTGGACTTGATGTTCCATTTCCACCTCCACCTCCTGATAACAGAGACCCGCATTTAGTTTGTCCTCCTCGGGTGTTCTCCTGGGCCGTCTGGGGCGACGTGTGCTCAACCTTCTGCGCAACGGGGTTTCCTGGTTTGGGCGTGGATCGATGGCTCGTCGACCTAGCCGAGCAGCGCCCCACGCCAGATTCAGGAACAAGGAGTACTGAGGGCTGTTGACCCCAATTCTGAGTCGGAAGCTGAGGTCGTTGAGGACCCTTGCCAGGCTGCACAGGTAGGCCTCGAGCTCCAGGGTGTTACTAAGGCACTTGCAGTCGAAGACTGCAGCGACCGAGCTGCTTCCGAACCTACTAGATTACTCGACCGGGATCAGGAGCTTTCTGACCTGGGAGGCAGTTCCGTCGCAAGGCTTTGTAATCACCATAGTCAGCTTTACATGCTTTCGTGTAAGTGCAGCGTGCTTTCCTGCTATGGGGCAGTGCATGGAGCACATCGGGGCGCCCCCCTCTGCAGGAAACATCTTGCGGAAACCGCGAGAAGTTTAAGCCCCGCTAGCACTGGACCCAGGACCCCAAATCCTCTACTGAGCTTACCTCGTCAGTTCGGCAGGTACATAATAGGGGCTTGCCCGTCCGGATGTTCCAAGTGGGTGTGTCTTGGTGAGGCTCCGACCCTACCTCTCAGACCAGCCCCCCCGTTGGTACCTCTTTCTGGCAGGGTGGAAGGGGTTGCCCCAGACTCGAGGAGGAACGAGAGACTTCTTCCCCACTCTGAACCTCTTGTTCAGCACACCGGCCTCCTCCATTGCACCCCTCCCCGTGTTGGGCAACGGGATTGCCAAAGCAGTGGATCGACGAGCACCTGCACGGATTGGATCAATTCTTGGGACGGGCTGTCAATAAGCCAGCCTTGGCAGGGCCGCAAAAGTTGGAGATCTCCGCTGACCCTGAAAAGGCCTTCCTGCCCCATGACGAGGGGCGCATCTTTCGCGCCCGCAGATAGAGGCAGCACCAGAGAGTGTCGAAGATAAGCTTGGAACTCGCAGGGCGGAAGCTTTAACGAAGGGGTCACGCTGACGGCGCTGGACGTCACTGAGGAAGAGGTGGAAGAGGCCGCGCAGTGGCATTCCCCCCCGCTTCCCGCACCATCTCATCCCCCCTCCTGGTTTGAGACCCTTGTGAAGAACAAGGCCCCCGCTCTAGTCCCTAGCTTTGGGCAACCGAGCAGCTCCAACCCCCTTTTAGGAGGGGTCGTACCGACCTTCCCCCCGTCGGGGGGCACCCTATAGGAGCCCCCACTGGTTTCAAGGTAGCCTCTTCGGGGAAGGCGGGCGGATCGATGGACGGCCGAGTAAAACAGGAGCGTCCTTCGGTGAGTCCTTGGGCAGCTCGGGGAGTACCTCCCTTGCAACCGACCGGATTATCCACGCCATCGACGGGCTACGCAAGGCCCAAGACGAGGACAAGACCGGCACCAAAGGGACTCTTACTTCTGTCAAGGAGCCCGAGAAGCTCGACGTTTTCTTGGCCCGCGGGTGTGGGGAGACCCAGGTCGAACTCTGTCCGGGTGTCTACGGCAAGGAGCTGTTTCACGGCATCAAGCGGGCGGTCACCATGCCAAGCATACGCTCCAACTTATCCGGTGGCCCGTTCTCATAACGAACCGCCTTGCCCTCTCCATAGCAGGCTTATGGCGGGGGGGGATGAAAGTTATACCCTCTTGGCCGCTGACTGCGCCACGGCGAAAGCCGACAGGTGGAGGCTTGGAACCCACCTACTGACCACCGGCTCGAGCAACGGTGCAAAGCGCCCGCCGCTTTTCTCACCTGGCTTCGTTACGCGGAGAATGCAGTCAAAGTGTTTGGCACCGCATATGGACTGGAACACGTCCCCGAGAGGTTAGCGTTCCTGTCTTTTCTGCGCGAGGCCAACGAAGAGGACGAGAACGCGTATCCCGTGAATTACTGCGTAAAACTCTACGAAGAGAGCTCAATGCAGTCTGGCGCAAGGCCATTCGGGAGAGCCGGCGCCAGCTTTGTGCGAAACTCGGCACGGAGAATCCTCGCCTTGAGGATCTCAAGCTGATAGCCCTCGCCCCAAACGATGATGGCACTCCAAATTTTCAGTTTCCGCGAGTGTGGGACTTAAAAGACCCACAAGGCTACTTCCAGACAGTCGTCCTTCCTCGCCAGCAGCGCGCCATGACACGGCTCCTCAACAAGCAGCTCCACGAGCAGGCTTTGGGCAGTAATCGACGGCCGAATAAAGCAGCTGGCGCTGACACCGGCAGCTACGAGGATGAGGTCGAGACCGACCCGAAAGCCGGTAAACCGGTAAAGGACCGAATCTACGCTTGAGACGCAACGATCGTGAGGAGGCTTCACCCCACCCATATTTGCAGTCACACGTTGCGGCCCGGTTGGTGAACGCCCGCCTGGATGGAACACCCTTCACTTTGCAGGAGATTTTGGTTACAGCCGATGAGGGGCATCCACACCTCGCTCAGGAGGCACAGACTTGCTTGGAGGCCGGTACCAGGCGCCGGAGGACGATCCGCCGGAAGCGGCGGTGACAGCATGTCCCAAGACATCTTGCTCGGCCACGTACTCAGGAGGCGCAGTTCACCTCACTTCTAAGCTCTACCCCAAAGGCCTGTCGTTGCCATTCGAGGATCACCTCGATAAGCTTGAAGTGAAGGAGGGTTCCCCTCCATTGTTTGGGGCCGCACCGGCCATGGAGAGCAGGCAGTGTCTCTGTCTCCACGTCGGACGGGTGTTCGCACCAGACCCCAGCCAAGCTGTAGCCCTGGCTCAGGACCTTCGAGGAGAGCTGTCTGAGGCGCAAGGCTACTTAGGCGACGCTGCTCCAATGATCTCTGAAGCCGAGGCATTTGTGCGGCACAATGCCCACGATTGTCTGGCACCTCATCATGAGAAGGACTATCGTGTCCTCCAATTGTTTGCCCCCTCCTTCATGAGCGGACGCGTCTTGGTGGTCCTGCGTGTATCTTCTCTAAGGGCACCCTTGACTTGGACGTTCTGCGGGGGACTGGCGCGACTACAGCTGGGGCATGGTGGTTATCCACAAGGGCCACAGCCCTCCCGTTGCCGGGAACGCGCATCGCTGAGCTCTTGGAGCAGTTTCGACCTTTGGGCAAGGTGGTTCGCGACCTCGAAGCCCAGGGATGGGCCTCCTTCTTGGAAAGTGGCGAGGGCGTCGGCGCGCCTATGGTCTCTAAGCAGCACCCATGTCAAATCGTTGTCGCCAACCGCAGACGCCATGTCGAGCCGGAGAAGGAGCGGACTCCACTACCGATCGGCCTGACTGGGACCCGGCGGAGGTGCCGGAGTTTCCCTCCACACGCCTGCAGGATCGCCCATCCTTCAAGCACGGCCAGGAAGTGTTCGCCGGCTGGGCCGGTTGGACGGCGGGCCTCCGCCACCAAGGGTTTCAGTGTATGCGGACCCCCTGCGCACGCAGGATCCCCAGGCAGAGCACGATCTCACTAAAGCCCCGGTCGTTAAGCGTCTGCGCGACTTGGCTGCGGCCACTCCGGCGGCCCCGGGCGTCCCGAACTTTTGGCAGTTTGGGTCACTGCACCACATACTGTGACTTTCAGCTTTTGAACGGTGGCACTCGCACGTACCTGCGGCCCGAAGGGGACGGCTCCCGTCCAGACGAACTGCTAGGGAATCAGTTTGCCGACCTCTCCGCTTCCCTTTGCGATTCCTTGTTTGAGCATGGCCGCGAGTTTGCGTTCGAGAGCACCTTCGGGGAGATATCCCAAAATTTGGGGTTTGCCCAGCACGCGTCGCCTGCGAAAACGCACTGGCGCCCGCATCGTGGCCATGGACATGTGTGCGTGGTACTTGGGTGCAGAGGAGGGCACACCAGGCCATTTTCACCGCAAGCGCACCTGCTGGGCTCGCCTTCTCCTATCGCGCCGCTGCCCTGGCATTGGCCCCCAGCACCAACACGCGCCTCTCAAAGGCGGGTCAGTAGCAGTCCCAGAAGTCCCACGCACCCGCGTTGCACAGCCATATTCAGTAGCACTGTGCGCTGTGTGGGGGCTCGTTGCTCGAGCCGCTTTTGAGCATTGGGACTGGCGGCAGGTTGCTGCTGGCCACGACGTGATCCAAGCTTTGGACCAGTTCCTTGCCCAATCCCCGGCCGCGCGCCCTATGCCATGCCTTGACTCTTGCCAGCCCTGACGAACGTTTGCCGACCCAACCCAGCCCGTAGAGGGGGAGGGAGCGCTGTGGAGAGCTGGAGCTGCTGGGCAACCATCTACAGTTCGCGGAGGATGGTCATCTCCTGAACGTGTCCCAAACAGAAGAGGGACCGTTCCGGTCAGGGAGGCCGCCAAAAACCACGGCTCGGTGAGAGGACAGGAGGAGGAGCTCACGCAAAAGGCCTACGGCGCTGCTCGAATGGTCGACCGACCGGAGATGTTGACCCGCTCGGGAGTGGCCGAATCCCCCCTATAAAGGGTCCCTAAGCAAAACCCGGACCAGACCATCTTCTCAGAAAAGAGGCCCATAAACGACATGAGGAAGCAGAACGCCTCAAGCTCCAAGTTCAAGCACCCCCCAGCACCTCAGCCCAGACACACGGGAGTTGCACGGCAGGCCCTTTGGTGAAGAGCCCGACACCCCCGCGTTCCCCTGCGGTGCGCAAAAAGGGATGTGCCGAGAGCGTTCAAGTGGCATTACCTCCGGCCCCGAGATGTTCCTGAGTTCGCTGTCAAGCTCTTGGGAATAGTGGTGATCAGTTTGGTGATGCCATTCGGATGGTTGGGGGCCCCAGGGGAGTTCGTCGCGTGGATTTCGAGTTCAACGACGTGGTCAGCTATGACTCCAAGTGGCTCATGGATGATGGAGTGGTCCTGGAACCCCTGGTGGGAAACCGAGTTTACCATTCCCTCGCATGTTTGGATCGGACCATGGTCGCCTATTGGGGCAAAGAGGGCGTCAATGTTGACAAATGGCAGAGGAAGGCGAACCAGCTGGGACCCAGCTCCTCTGGGGTTTGTACATGGACTTTGATCAGCAGGTGATCAGCCTCCCAGAACCCAAACGCATGAAGGCTAAACACCTACTGGCTGAACCAGCCCTGCAAAGAGGCAACCGAGATGTCCCCCTGCGATTGTTGCAGGAAGTCGCGGGCTGCGCTCAATACTGGTCCACCGTTTGCCCCGAGATGGTCCCTAGACTCCCAGCCCTCTATCGCCCTACGCGAGGCATGGAGACAAAGACCGCTTCCTCCACCACTGCGGATGAGCAGGCGGGAGCGGATAGACGACTGGGAGGACTTTTGGCGCGCCCTTGACTTCATCCGCCTTCAGCTTGAACGACCCCTCAGTACCAGTTTTAGGGCCTCCTTCAAAAAAAAAAAGCTCCTTCCTTTCCGAGAAAGGTTGGCCATGCCGGGCGCATCCTTCCGGGTCCTTGGGAGCATTGACTGGAAGGCCAGGAGATTTGCAGTCGAGGACTTCTCGCAGTACGCTGAGCGTCTGCAGGTTGAGATCCCGCACGGTGACAACTATGAGATCATCTCCATCGCGGAAATGATGGCCTTCGTCGCCCTTGCTTGCTCCGAGGCCTCCCACTGGCGTGGGGAGCTTGTATTCTACGTGACCGACAACGACAACGTGCGCTCGTGGCTCACTAAGCGAAGGCCCCGTAACCCTTTCGCACGCCTCCTTGTTTGTCTGGCGCAGAGGTTGGAGGCTGAGTTCGACTTCTCGTGCCATTCGGTGTACATTCGCACGTACCACAACGAGATGGCGGATTGGGTAAGCCGGGCTCCGGTTTCGGAAGTGGTTCGACGCCTCACCGAGGAGGGCTGGACCAGAGTCGAGTGCCTCCAACATTGGGGGACCTTGATTAGCTCAGGCCTTAGACCCTCGTGGCCCTGCCTGGGAGGGACGCCTTCGAGAAAGAAGCCAAGCAGCTCTCTCTTCAGAACTCCTTGGCTGAACCGGCCCTGGGCAGTTGGATCACCGGTGCCGCTTGAGGTTGATAGCGCCTCTATCGCTCTAGCTAAGTTTGGAGTGGGGAGCTCCTCCCCAGCGCAATGTCTTTCTCAGTCGATCCACACGGGATTGAGAGAGGTCGAGCAAAGGATATCATCGAGCTCTCGCCGCCTTCCGCATTAGACACCTCTGCCTACGCACTTGGGTGAAGGAGCATTTCCCAACAGGGGACTGGCAGCACCGGGAGTACGTCACAAACCATCTGGGGTCATTTTCAGCGAGGAGGCGGAACCTCTCGTTCGGACCTCCCCTTGAGCTTGAAGAAACACGATCGGTTCCTCCGCGCCGGCGCTCAATGGGAGCGGTGGAGTCCGTCCCCTCACCGATGATGAGATCAGACGGTACGCAGGAAGTGGAGGAATCCGTCTGCCGGAGCTTGCAGAACAGCCGAACTGAGGAGGAGGTGATGGCGAGTATCGCACCAGGCTGGCAGGCGGCCAGCGCCATCATAGCTCTGCTTGAGGTTGACGACCCCGGCGATGATAAGGAACTCGAAATTTGGCTCCAGGCCTGGGCCAGAAAGAACGAGCTCGAGCTGCTTCCGCACTCCTGGCAGGAACCCATGACCCTCCCGATGGCGTGGCAGGGCGACGAGAGATGTGGCGGCCCCGCCCCCAAGCGTGGAGGGAAGGAACTTGTAGTCCCCCGCCTAGGCTCGGGAAGATTTCTTCTCATTGAGGGAGCATCAATCCTGCTTGGGGAGAAACCTCCCAAGAAGAGAGCCGGCGAAAAGCCCGCACAACCACCTCCATCGAAGATTGTGGCGGGATCCCGAGAATGTTCCAGGCATTGTGGCCCTCCAAGAGCCAATCTTTCACCCTCCGCTCCGCTGCATCACGATTGTTTGCCATGGCGGCAAAGGTAGGTGCTACCCGGAGACCTGTGCAGAGGGGGTGGAACACCCGATACGAAAATGGCCGCGAGAATCGCAAGTGATGGTTTCACACACAGTCGGGCATGCGCAACCAACGCAAGCAGAAACATTGCAGAGGACAGGGCTGTGGCAGCTAGAACAAGTGCTCCTAACACTAATGTCTTCACAAACACAACCCTTCCCGCGGAAATCACTGCACTCGCAGTAGGCGGCGTGGCCCCCCACAATCGGGCAGGTGGACACAACCCCGGTGGGAAGAAGGGGGGGCTGCTTTGGCACTAAGTCCCAGAACCCCGCCCTACAATCAGCATCACTTTCCGCCCTACCAGAGGGCTCCCTTATCGGCGGGGGTGAGCTGCGGGACCTTTGCTGTGGTTGCAGCGCGGGCTTAGAGCGGAGCATGTGACTGGCATGAGATTGCCCACCGTGCAGGTCAGAATACAGATAGGCGTGAACGGCTTCCGATTTCCACCCGCCAAACCTCTTCACAAGCTCCATATCTCCAGTGGCCGCATACAAGGCCGTGGCCCCACCCTTCCTGAGGCTATGAGACCCAATTAAATCAGGTGGGTACCCCAAAGCAACACTCCTCCAACTTCAGGAGGGAAGAGATGTCCTCTAGAGACCCCTCGCCCCTTATGGGCGAAAACGGGACGGGCCGGATCGGCCAACCATTCAGGATTGTGCCTGGCGTGTTCCTGAAGGGAAATAATGGGACAGAGAGGGGTACCCGTTATGTGATGCGTCCTGACCTGGCCTCTAGCGAACTGATCGTTTTTGGCCTCACGGAGTTGTAACATTACCGTGGTAGCTTCCCAAAGCGAACACCTCTTCCCTCAGTGAAGAACTCGAGATCCATACCCCGAAGCACCCGACTAGGGGTGCAGCCCAAATCTTGAAGGGGAAGATACTCGAAGGCCCTAAGCGTGAAAAACCAGCCAAGGCACATGGCAGACCACAGGGCAGCCGCCTCGGGCCGGTCTCGGCCACTCCGTTCGATCGTCATGAAGCCACTAGGAGCTCGACGGTTACCGGCGCCTTCCGGACGGTCGGCCCATCCCACCTGTGGAGGCCTTGAAGGGCTGCCCAAAGCCTCCTGCCCGCAACAGGTCAGGGTAACCCAGGAAGACCACAAATCGGATCAGGGGCTGCTCGTCCTCTTACTTCTCCCGCCTTGTTCGCCTTCCAGAAAGGGGCTGTGGGAGGTACCGGCTAGGAAGACCTGAGAACAGCCACCATCCAACGACGCGCGATCTACACGATGACCTTTTGGCTCGTCAGCACGATGATGGCACCTGGTCAGACGACACGCAGCCGGAGGACCCGTCGACGACAGCGACGAGTCCACCGAGTCGTTTAACTGGTAATCAGGAGAGTACCTTACATGGTGGTGACCCTTGGAACTACAGGCCTGGGTGGAGCTCCCCGCCTCCTCAGCCCAAAACCCCGCCTTCGCCGCCCAGCCGACCAGGTCCCTCTAGTTCTAGTGGGGGCGTACCGCCCGGTTTCCGACCCCCAGACTTTGGTGGGGCGCGCGGGAAAAGGGCCCCGAGCTACCGACCCAACAACAGCGCATACGCGGGCCCTCCACCTTGGGAAGGTGGCAGGACAGGCCGCCCCATGAGGAAGTGCAGGATTTGTGGGTTGATGTCGTATGCTGGTGACGGATGGTGCAATATCTGTGACAGGACGAAACCGGCCCGA